ACACACACCTGTTTTGGGTTTACTGGTTTCAAGAAGCACTCTCTGATGTGAACTATGCCTCGCAGAAAAGAGCTCTTAGAAGACCTACGATCAAGAATTGTTGACTTGCATGAAGCTGGAAAGGGTTACAAAAGTATCTCCAAAAGCCTTGATGTTCATGTGTCCATGGTAAGACAGACTGTCTACAAATAGAGAAAGTTTAGCACTGTTGCTACTCTCCCTAGGCATGGTCCTCCTGTAAAAATGAGTGCAAGAGCACAGCGCAGAATGCTGCATGAGGTAAAGAAGAATCCCAGAGTGTCAGCTAAAGACCTACAGAAATCTCTGGCACATGCTAACAGTTTTGTTGACACATCTACAATAAGGAAAACATTAAACAAGAATGGAGTATGGAGTACATGGGAGGACACCACGGAGGAAGCCATTGCTGTCCAAAAAGAATATTGCAGCACATTTGAAGTTTGCAAAAGAGCACCTGGATGTTCCACAGCACTACTGGCAAAATATACTGTGGACAGATGAAACCAAGATTGAGTTGTTTGGGAAGAACACACAACACTATGTGTGCAGAAAAAAAAGCACAGCACACCAACATCAAAACCTCATCCCCACTGTAAAACATGGCGGAGGGAGCATCATGGTTTGGGGCTGCCTTGCTGCCTAAGGGCCTGGACAGATTGTTGTCATTGATGGGAAAATGAATTTGAGAGTTTATCAAGACATTTTGCAGGAAAACGTACGACCATCTGTCAGCCAACTGAAGCTCCGCAGAGGATGGGTGATGCAACAGGACAATGACCCAAAGCATACAAGTAATTCAACAAAATAATGGCTGCAACAGCACAGAATACGCCTTCTGGAGTAACCCAGTCAGAGTCCTGACCTCAAACCCGATTGAAATGCTGTGGCATGACCTTAAGAGAGCGATTCACATCAGACATTCAAAGAATATTGCTACACTGAAACAGTTTTGTGAAGAGGAGTGGTGCAAAATGACTCCAGATCGTTGTGCAGGTCTGATCTGCAACTACAGGAAACGTTTGGTTGAGGTTATTGCTGCCACAGGAGGGTCAACCAGTTATTAAGTCCAAAGGTTCACATACTTTTTCCTCCCTGCACAGTGAATGTTTACATGTTATGTGCAATTAAACCATGGCAACATCTAATGTTTGTGTAGTATTATGTTCAGCAGACTGTGTTCTTCTATTGTTGTGACTTAGATGACGTTCAGAGCACATTTTATGCCCAATTCATGCAAAACTCCACGTAATCCCAAGGGGTTCACATAATTTTTCTTGCAACTGTACATTTTGATGTCCGTTGACATACATTTTGATGTCCATTGACATGGATGCACAGCTATGTGGTGTGAATAGGACACTTTAAAATTATTGTTATTTAGATGTCCTTCCATTGATCTGCATTTTACAGCTGCACTAAAATGAAGATCAACGCACTGGTGGTAATTGGCCCTTTCTGTCAATCCATTTCTGAATGGGGATGAGCTAGAGCTTGGGCCAAACTCAGTTCCACCTGAACCTGGGGAAAACTGTAATTTAACAGCAGGTCACTAGCTCAATCATCTTCAACCATAGAATTCCCTGCCCTGTAGCCACATTTAACAAAGAAGAAGGAATGCTAGTGATATCATTGACCATGACCATACTGGGTCAATGACATTGTCAAATATAGCCATGTGGCCATATTAGCCCAAGGATGGAACCGGCATCCCTGCTCCTGTCAGGGAAATACATGTTCAGGGAAATAAGCTATATGCACGAGCACAGGCAGGAGCATTGGCATTTATACAAGTACAGTTGTGTATAGCCATTCGCTTGCATGGCCAGCTGTACGCGACACTTCTGGCTACCCAAGTGCCAGAAAGCGACAGGTACAGCTTGAGCACTTTTGAGCCTCTAAATGGCTGTGTGCATGAAGACTTATATTTGTCTGGAACTGAGAATTCAGTATTTTATAGATTGTGGTGAAGTCTTTACAATTCATTTCTCAGGCTGCGCACTGCTAGTGGGTCCCACTTTTTTACCTGAATTTTATCTTCATTTAAAGTGGTAATAAACTCAAAAGCCAACATTTGTTATACTGCAGCTTGCCAATTCTTATATGTGATTGCTCTATTTGTTTCCTTTTTTAGGCTTTCCTTTTATTTCAACAGTAACAGTTGTGTTTCTTTGGGATAAAGGTTTTACATAGATGATCAGATTTAATTTATCTAAGTAAGACTAGGTTCACACTCATGCGGTGCGGTACATCGCATGTGATTTACACAGGAACCGCACTGCATTCCTGTGCAAATCACATGCGAATTATGTGCGGTGCAATTTGAGCCATACATTATCTATGGCTCAAATCGCACCACATCCACACCAAAAAGGTGCAGGACCCTTTTTTGGTCCACACTAGAATCGGATCACATGGGTATTCACACCTATGCGATCCGATTCTGCACATCGCACCACGTTTTGTGGATCGATTTCGGGGTGTTTTTAACTTGACATACACACCTGCAGCAGTTCGCATGAACAGAGTGCGATTCTGATGTGGTGCGGAATTCACACGGAAAATGCTGCGCATTCCGGGCCGCATCAGTGTGAACCCAGGCTAAAACCTTTATCCCAAAAGAAACACAACTGTTACTGCTTATAAAGCGTTAGCTAAATTTTGGTTTCAATTTGTTAGTCCATATAAATCTGCTAGTGCATCCAACACTCCCCTCCCCCCAAATTAACTGCCGCTATCCAATGGGGTCTCTGGTGCTCCTTCATCCAGAGTGAGGCACTTTAATAAAGGTGGTGTGTTACTGCCAGATCACTAGCTAAAAATAAAGGGAAAAAAAGCCTGTAAAAAAGAAAACTAATGCCAAGCCACATTTAATGACTGGTGGGTGGCAATATAATATATTTTTGGATTTAACATCATGGAGAATGCAACAGTAGGAATACAAATAATCAAAAATCCCAGAATGTCAAGAGTCAAGAAACATAGCAAATTATCTCAGTATTAGAAGTATGCAAGACATAAGGAGCAAAGGGTATCCACCAAGCTACACCAGTAACTGAAATGTAGCCAGGTACTTGGCTAGAGACAGAGAGTGATTTAGGACACCGCTGCAGTGCTTGCTGTGTCTCCAATGGGAATCAGGCTGAATGGGTTAGCACTACCTTGCCTCCACCCACCAAAGAGGAGATGACAAGCAGAAGGAGCTAAATGAACTTGAATGTTGGTAGCAGTGAACCATGGGAGATGTAGTTGAGACGGGAAATCTGCTATGAGAGTTAAAGGACTGGTAGACTACAATTCTCAGATGAGAGACTGTTATTAGGCAGAGAACGATTTGTATTTTCCAAAGTTGAAAACCGAGTGACTTCCTCTATTGACTGTCTGGAGAGATGTGCATATTGCTACTCCTGTGTGAACATCAATCAGTCTGTCACAAGTCTGCAATTTGAGCCTGAGATTGGAGCACTCTGAACCAGGTTGCTGAGGACTGGAGTTGCCTCAGTGTCAGGGCAGGAGCCGAGGAACGGACAATGTAACGCACTGGCTGACGACAACCACCACCCACAGACCGAAGTCCCTCAGGGCGCGGAGTCTAAGTCCCAGGCTGCCCTTCACCAGGGCCCCTGATGGTGGGGATGGACTTGACGCAGCCAGGAACCAGGTCACGGCCCCCAGACACCTCAGCTGCGGTAATGGCCGCTGCCAATGGCGTGTAGCTGGTGGAAGAAACAAAAGAGTAGTCAGACAAGCCGGGGTCAACAACAACAGGACAAAACAGTACAGGACAGCAGACGAGAATCACAGGTCACAAGCCGGGTTCAGCAACAGAGGGTCAGATCAAAGGAGAATACAAAGAATAGTCAAGTCACAAGCCGAATCAGAATACCAGGAGGGTCACGAGAGTCAGAACAGAGTAATAGTAACACAAAGACACAAGACACAAGTGCAAAGAGCATGTGCGGGCCACAGGCTTATATGTCATCAGCCACGCCCCTCTGGGGGGTGGACCTCAGAGACCTGAAGGCATAAAAAGGATTCCCATCATGCACAGCAGAATCCAAGATGGACGCCAGCACATGGAGTAACATAACCTCAGGGAAAAGGTAGGACCTTGACAGTACCTCCTCCTCAAGGGCCCCTCCCCCTCCGCGGCTCAACAAAAGGTTTCTGAGGAAAGCGGGTATGAAAAAGAGGAGGGCAGGAGCATGGACATCCGCGGAAGGAACCCAGGAACGCTCCTCAGGACCATAACCGCGCCAATGAACCAGGAACTGTAATCGACCGCGCACCAATCGAGAGTCCAGGATCCGGCTCACCTCATACTCCTCATGACCGTCAACCCGGACAGGACGGGGGCCGAGGCAGAGAGGTAGTGAAGCGATTGCAGATCAGAGGTTTCAACAGGGAAACATGAAAGATATTGGAGATCCGCATCCCAGACGGAAGGGCAAGGGCATAGGCCACCGGATTCACTTTGCGGAGAATGCGGAAAGGACCGACAAAATGGGGAGCTAGTTTGGGTGTGGGCACCCGAAGATTGAGGTTGCGAGTAGACAACCACACCCGATCGCCGACCTGGTATGAAGGAGCGGGCAACCGTCTGCGATGAGCCTGGAACTTTTGGCGCTGAGCTGAGTCCCTCAAGGCCCTCTGGATCTGCCCCCATGAAGAACGCAGGGCAGCAAGATGGTTCTCCACAGCCGGAATGTCCTGTGGTGAGAACCTCTCAGGTAGTACTGCGGGTTGGAACCCATAGTTGGCCATGAAGGGCACATCCCGGAGGAGGAGTTGACCGCCGAGTTCCTGGCAAACTCTGCCCAAGGCAGGAGATCGGCCCAATCGTCCTGATTAGAGATGAGCAAAGTATTCAAAAATTCGATTCGACTGATTCGGCGAATTCGTAGAAAAAATTTTGATTCGAGTCGAATATATTCGCTGTGAATTTAACTTAAAAAAGGGTGTTTCTAGGCTTCAGAGAGACTTAATATTAGTGATGAACACTGTACCTTTAATTTAAATGCCCTTGGAGTCTGCTGGGGAAGAGAAATAATACTGTCAGGCAGTATGACATGCAGATGAGTGCCGTCGATCTTAGAATCACCGCACACTTCACTCATTTGGGCAGTCACGGGGCCAAAACCAGAGTGTGGAGCCACAGTGTGGCGGTGGAGGCAGCAGCAATGGGAGGCCATACAGCACCCTATGACAAAAATGGAAACCACCAGCAGTGTGAGGAGACCTGAAAGTGGCACATGGCAGAGTGTGGCGATAGAGACAGCAGCAATGGGAGGCCGTACAGGGACCCATGACACACTCTGGACCTGGCAGCAGCATGAGGAGGCGGTACAGGGGCCCATGGCAGATTACGGGCCTGGCAGCAGCATGAGGAGTCGGTACGGGGGCCCATGGCAGATTACAGGCCTGGCAGCAGCAATGGGAGGCCGTACAGGGACCCATGACACAATCTGGACGTGGGCAGCAGCATGGGGAGGCGGGTACAGGGGCCCATGACAGATTACGGGCCTGGCAGCAGCATTTGGAGTCGGTACGGGGGCCCATGACACACTCTGGACCTGGCAGCAGCATGAGGAGGCGGTACAGGGGCGCATGACAGATTACGAGCCTGGCAGCAGCAACTTGGACAGGAGGACGTTCAGTTTCTGCACCGTCTGGTGCGTGCTCGCAAACTGTTTGTCTCTTGGAAACGGATTCCAAGAAAGGACTGCTGACGGAATCCGTGAAGAGGAGTAGCAGGAGAAGAGCATCTGAACGAGCGGAATATGCCAACAAGCGACAACAGGGGCCCATGGCAGATTAGGGGCCTGGCAGCAGCTATGGGAGGCCCGTAATCTGCCAGCACCCTATGACACAAAAAATGGAACCCACCAGCAGTGTGAGGAGACCTGAAAGTGGCACATCGGGCAGAGTGTGGCGATGGAGACAGCAGCAATGGGAGCCGTACAGGGACCCATGACACACTCTGGACCTGGCAGCAGCATGAGGAGGCGGTATATAGGGGCCTATGGCAGATTAGGGGCCTGGCAGCAGCTATGGGAGGCCCGTAATCTGCCAGCACCCTATGTCAAAAAATTCTACACACCAGCAGTGTGTGAGACCTGAAAGTGGCACATGGCAGAGTGTGGCGATGGAGACAGCAGCAATGGGAGGCCGTACAGGGACCCATGACACACTCTGGACCTGGCAGCAGCATGAAGGCGGTACAGGGGCCCATGGCAGATTACGGGCCTGGCAGCAGCATGAGGAGTCGGTACGGGGGCCCATGGCAGATTACAGGCCTGGCAGCAGCAATGGGAGGCCGTACAGGGACCCATGACACAATCTGGACGTGGCAGCAGCATGGGGAGGCGGTACAGGGGCCCATGACAGATTACGGGCCTGGCAGCAGCATTTGGAGTCGGTACGGGGGCCCATGACACACTCTGGACCTGGCAGCAGCATGAGGAGGCGGTACAGGGGGCCCATGACAGATTACGAGCCTGGCAGCAGCAACTTGGACAGGAGGAAGTTCAGTTTCTGCACCGTCTGGTGCGTGCTCGCAAACTGTTGTCTCTTGGAAACGGATTCCCAAGAAAGACTGCTGACGGAATCAGTGTGAAGAGGAGTAGCAGGAGAAGGAGCATCTGAACGAGCGGAATATGCCAACAAGCGACAACAGGGGCCCAACAGGGGCCTGGCAGCAGCTATGGGAGGCCCGTAACAGCACCCTATGACAAAAATGGAACCCACCAGCAGTGTGAGGAGACCTGGAAGGTGGCAGCAGAGCGATGGAGACAGCAGCAATGGGAGGCCGTACAGGGGGACACACCTGGATGGCAGGCATGAGGAGGCGGTATTAGGGGCCTGGCAGCAGCTATGGGAGGCCCGTAATCTGCCAGCACCCTATGTCAAAAAATTCTACACACCAGCAGTGTGAGGAGACCTGAAAGTGGCACATGGCAGAGTTGTGGCGATGGAGACAGCAGCAATGGGAGGCCGTACAGGGACCCATGAGAGACTCTGGACTTGGCAGCAGCATGAGGAGGCGGTATAGGGGCCCATGGCAGATTAGGGGCCTGGCAGCAGCTATGGGAGGCCCGTAATCTGCCAGCACCCTATGACAAAAAATGGAACACACCAGCAGTGTGAGGAGACCTGAAAGTGGCACATGTTTGGGGCATGATTCATGGCGGATTTAGTCAGTTGTGTCAGGAACTGGTGGTTTGAAATCCAGACTAATCCACGCCTGATTCATTTTCACAAACGTCAGTCTCTCCACACTTTGGGTGGACAGTCGTGTCCTCCGCGGAGTTGCAATACCTCCTGCCGCACTAAACACGCGCTCCGATGCCACGCTACTGGCCGGGCATGACAGCCTTTCAAGGGCAAATTCAGCTAGTTGGGGCCAAAGGTCAAGTTTCGTTGCCCAGTAGTCAAGGGGATTGTCTACCTCGGTTGGCAGGGTGCTGTCCAAGTAGGCCTAAGCCTGTTGTTTGAGGTCCTGCTCCAGGTCCACCTGATGCTGCTGCTGCTGCTGCTGCTGCTGCTGCGGCTGGTTAGTAGTTTCCTCACTGCGCTGGTGAAGAAAGCTACTCATCATCGACTGCAGACTGAGGCAGCCGCTGCTGGTGGAGCTGCCACTGCTCCTACCACCCCACCCCTCCCCTGCTGCCATGGCAGCGGAACGCGAGCGCACAGGGCCCACAGTGTCTGAGGATGGACGTTGGCGCAGACAGGCAGAGACCAGCTGACTACATAGGTGGTTTTTATAGTACGTTATTTTGGCCTCCCTCTCAGCAGGTGTGAAAAAGGCCACCATTTTTGAACGGTAGCGAGGGTCCAACAAGGTGGACAGCCAAAAGTCATCCCTCTGTCTGATGGTTATTATTCGGCTGTCGCTACGCAAGCAAGCGAGCATGCTATGGGCCATTTGTGCCAAGGAATGCGAGGGACTCCCTGCCTCCATCTCCACAGCATACTGCCACGGTGCGTCTGGGTCCTCTGTCTCCTCCTCCTCCTCCTCTACCAGATGCTCCTGCTCCTCCACTCCTGTCCGCTGAGTGGAAAAACCACCCATTTCACTCAATAATTCCTGAGCACCAATGTCCTCCTCTACCTCCTCCTCTTCTTCCTGTCCTGCCCCCACAGGGGTCATGTGGCGTTGAGATCTGTGCGCCACGTCTACCGCACCCTGACCAGCCATTGTTAACAGCATTTGTTCCAGGACGTGCAACAGAGGAATGACGTCGTTCATCCCATAGTCCTGCCGACTCACGAATAGCGTGGCCTCCTCAAAGGGCCTGAGCAAGCGCAGGTGTCACGCATGAGCTGCCAATGGCTGACATCTAAGTTACACAGGGAATACCTTTATCCGCTTTTAACATCAGGAAATCTGTGATGGCCTTTTGCTGTTCGTAAAGGCGGTCTAACATATGTAGGGTTGAATTCCACCTTGTTGCAACGTCACAGCATGAGGAGTCGGTATAGGGGCCCATGGCAGATTAGGGGCCTGGCAGCAGCTATGGGAGGCCCGTAATCTGCCAGCACCCTATGTCAAAAAATTCTACACACCAGCAGTGTGAGGAGACCTGAAAGTGGCACATGGCAGAGTGTGGCGATGGAGACAGCAGCAATGGGAGGCCGTACAGGGACCCATGACAGACTCTGGACCTGGCAGCAGCATGAGGAGGCGGTATATAGGGGCCTATGGCAGATTAGGGGCCTGGCAGCAGCTATGGGAGGCCCTTAATCTGCCAGCACCCTATGTCAAAAAATTCTACACACCAGCAGTGTGTGAGGAGACCTGAAAGTGGCACATGGCAGAGTGTGGCGATGGAGACAGCAGCAATGGGAGGCCGTACAGGGACCCATGACAGACTCTGGACCTGGCAGCAGCATGAGGAGGCGGTATATAGGGGCCCATGGCAGATTAGGGGCCTGGCAGCAGCTATGGGAGGCCCGTAATCTGCCAGCACCCTATGTCAAAAAATTCAACACACCAGCAGTGTGAGGAGACCTGAAAGTGGCACATGGCAGAGTGTGGCGATGGAGACAGCAGCAATGGGAGGCCGTACAGGGACCCATGACAGACTCTGGACCTGGCAGCAGCATGAGGAGGCGGTATATAGGGGCCTATGGCAGATTAGGGGCCTGGCAGCAGCTATGGGAGGCCCGTAATCTGCCAGCACCCTATGTCAAAAAATTCTACACACCAGCAGTGTGTGAGGAGACCTGAAAGTGGCACATGGCAGAGTGTGGCGATGGAGACAGCAGCAATGGGAGGCCGTACAGGGACCCATGACAGAATCTGGACCTGGCAGCAGCTGAGGAGGCGGGTATATAGGGGGCCCATGGCAGATTGGGGCCTGGCAAAGCAGCTAAGCTATGGAGGCCCCTAATCTGCCAGCACCCTATGTCAAAAAATTCTCACCAACACCAGCAAGTGAGTTTGTAGGAAGACCTGAAAGTGGCACATGGCAGCAGTGTGGCGATGGTAGACAGGAGCAATGGGAGGCGTCACAGGGACCCAT